TTGCTATTGCTATTGCTATTGCTATTGCTTAGGCATAAATAGAGCGATATTAATCTTAACTGGGCTAATGAATCTTGCCAATACTTAGAAAAATTATTTTTTCATTGTTTTAATGGAATATCAGTTCTCAATATCAGTAACGTCTGAAATAAAAGCAACATCTTTGGTAAAAAAATTCATCTTAATTGTGGAAATTCTACCCAGTAAACTAAAGATAATTGCAATTTGTCTCATCATTGTAAGTCTTTTTGTAATATCATTCAAAACAGCTACAAACATTTTAAAACAGCTTAGAATTTGAGCAAGAAAAACAAAATGCACAGGTACAGTATACGTGGTACCTCGCTCAATAGTACCGATAGTAACTGTGAAAAGGGATCTTGGAATCCTAGTGGACAACCATTGAAATAGGAGCCAGCCATGTGCAGCAGCTGCCAAAAAAGCCAACACAATTCTAAGCTGCATCAACAGAGGGATAGAATTAAGATCACGTGAAGTGTTAATGCCACTTTATAAGGCCTTGGTAAGGCCACACTTGGAATATTTGCATCCAGTTTTGGTTACCACAATGGGAAAAAAAATGTTCAGACTCTAGAAAGAGTGCAGAGAAGAGCAACAAAGATGATTAGGGGACTGGAGCCTAAAACATAAAGAACTGGAATTGCTGGAATTGGGTATGTCTAGTTTCATAAGAAGAAGGACTAGGGGTGACATGATAGCAGGGTTCCCGTATCTCAGGAGTGGCCACAAAGAAGATTCTCCAAAGCCCCTGAAGCTAGAACAAGAAGGGACAGATGGAAACTAATCAAGCAGAGAAGCAACCTAGAACTAAGGAGAAATTAGTCTGTGACAGTTAGAAAAATTAACCAGTGGAATGATTCATCTCCAGAAGTTGTAAATGCTCCAACACTGGAACTCTTTAAGAAGAGATTGGACAGCCATTTCTCTGAAAGGATATAAGGTTTCCTGCCTAAGCAGGGGGTTGGACTAGAAGACCTCCAAGGTCCCTTCCAACTCTGTTATTCTATTATTCTATTGTACTGGTCAACATAGCCCCAAGATATTTCATCTTTTTCTCCACCTCCAACACTGCTATCCTGTCTCCCCTGGTCCTTCTTTTCATTAAACTAGACAAACTCAGTTCCTGCAACCCTTCTTCATATGTTTTAGCCTCCAGTCCCCTCATCCTCTTTGTTGCTCTTCGCTGCACTCTTTCTAGAGTCTCCACATCCTTTCTACATCTTCTCAAAGTTTCACAATCTTGAATAGTCCTACTCTTTGCCACCGTTTTGTTTTGTGTTTATTTGGTTTGAAACCTGCTAAAACTCCAAAATCATTGCATTTCCTCCTCAGATATTCCCTTGTACTTTCTGGGTCTTGCAGAAATACAACTAAATCGCTACCAAAAGTGTCACACCTGTCCGGCCTTGGCTTCTTAGGAAAGAAAGATCCCCGATTTCATTTGTGCGAAAGATTTACTACTATTACTAAAGGCCAAGTGGTTACAGTACAGCAAAGCCAGAATTAAAATTCTGTGCATCAAGGTTCCCCAGTTAACTTTCCCTTTCTTGTTCCCCCCCACCGTCGTTTATCTCTCTATTGTCCAGTTACATTCAAAGAATTTGTTTTGCAAACGTCCCCTCCATTGGCGGGCTAGATGGTGAGCTGTTTGGCTTCCCATCCCAGGCCTCTGGCCTTGGTTGCATTGAACCAATGTCTCAGGAAGGTATGATGAACAGTTTCGGTTTCCCCCTCCTTCCCTGCAATATGAGCAATCCCCTCCCCCATTGGTTTATGGCAGGCTGGGACCTGGGAACGCAATGTTTTGGATTTGGATTTGGATTTTATTCAATTTGTAGGCCGCCCTATTCCCCGAAGGGACTCAGGGCAGCTGAACAAAACCAAGGGAGGGGAAATTACAAAAAGTGAGACAAAGACAAACAAACAATACAAACAGTTTAAAAGCACAACAGCCACACAATTCGAGTGGGGATGGAACTCATCAGCCCCAGGCCTGTCAGAACGGCCAGGTCTTGACGGCTTTGCGGAAAGCCTGAAGGGTGTTGAGGGTCCGGATCTCCACAGGGAGATCGTTCCAGAGGGCCGGAGCAGCCACAGAGAAGGCCCTCCTCCGGGTGGTCGACAATCGGCATTGGCCGGCATTGGCTGGCGGATGGAATTCGGAGGAGGCCTAGTCTGTGGGATCTAATAGGTCTTTGGGAGGTAATTGGCAG